ATTTTAATTAATAAAACTGATCAAGAGACCAAAACAATCATTTCTAAGTACATTTGAGTACTATTTAAATGTCAGTCTCTCAGATTGCTAGCAGCAAGTGTCCGTCTGCGGAGGCGGCGAGAAGATACGTCACATCTATCGCTGTAAGGGAGACACGTATGTCTTCCGTGATTTGGTCAAAAATGTTTCGTGTTTCCTCGGGATATTTGAAATGAGGCAGCGCGCGCTAATGAGTGTGTCGACGGTTAGGAAGTACTGTGTAAGTATACAACATGTTATTTCCTTCTATTTTAGAGCACTTGGTGATCATCTAATCAAAACAACAAAATATTGCAGTCGCACACCGCAGTGTTCAAATCAAGCAGCGGTCCAAAACCAAAACGCTTCTTTTAACGTTAATCACCAAACAGGACGAAGGAACGTAGCGCTGTGTTTCTTATTTGCTTATTTCTGTCAGCTGCATGAACATATCAGTCAGCATTAAATATGCAACTTCGGTGCCTAACGAATGCATAAAGGTGACCAGATGGACATAAACAAATACAAAACAGATGGCAACTATCATGGCATTAAACATTTGGGTCAGACTTGCGCGTATTTTTTGTCACATTGTTTTAACTGCTTGAGGTACTGCTAATGCTAGCGTCTCAGCTGTGAAGGCAAACTTACTGCTGTTCTTTCTCAGGTAATGCAGAATTTAGTCAGCGTGTTAATTCCAATGATATATAAATATGTGCTATAAACATAGGGTTAAGTTGATTAAGTGTCCCGCTCCATGCAGCAGCATCACGTCTGAAAACTAATTGCAGCAGACGTCAGTGAAGGCAACATTTAAAGAAAAATCGTGTTATTTGAGCTAATTTTAATTAATAAAACTGATCAAGAGACCAAAACAATCATTTCTAAGTACATTTGAGTACTATTTAAATGTCAGTCTCTCAGATTGCTAGCAGCAAGTGTCCGTCTGCGGAGGCGGCGAGAAGATACGTCACATCTATCGCTGTAAGGGAGACATAAAGACATTGGTTTTCATTAAACTAGATGTTGCATTAGATTTGTAGTAGTGTGGGGCTACAAGAGCAGATTATGAATACACATGGTGTTTTTTTATGTATATAAAATAAGTTCTAAGAATCAGTTCTTTATGAACAGTTTTTTTTAATTAAAGCTGCAGTCAGTAAGTTTTGCCTCTTTGTCGCCATCTCTGTTTGAAAACCTGCAATTGCAGCTGTGTGTGGAATTATCTTCCTTGCGTGGGTTGTGCGGCGGCACGGCTCCAGCGCGGATGAATCTAATGTTCTGAAGAGTTTGTGTGGCAGTCAGTCACCGCACCGGTGTGGATATTTACTGTACTTCACAATCACAGATTCTAGCCTACGTCTTGGAATATATATGACCCAAATAAGCATTTTCACCGGATATTGTCATCTGAACAAGTAAGTAACAAATCTGCCACGTTTGTTCTGACCAACCGAGGAAAAAAGCATTACAATAAATTGTGCTACCAATGGTGATTTAATCTAAAGATCGGTTAGCTCATATCACATCAAACCGTGTGCAAATTATTATTATTGTTATACTTTATTCTCAAATTGTTAATGTTAACAACATCAGCATTG